GTGGAAGAAGGGAAGGGGAACGCTGGACAGAGGAGCAGCGTGAGCATAAGTGAGGAGATGGCCTGCGGGATGCTGGGCTGGGCTGGGCTGGCTGTGCTGGGCTGAGCTGTGCTGAGCTGTGCTGGGCTGTGCTGGGCTGTGCTGGGCTGTGCTGGGCTGGGCTGAGCTGTGTTGTGCTGGGTTGGGCTGGCTGGGCTGGGCTGGGCGGAGGGGGAAAGGAGTAAGGTGAGCAGGCCAGCACACAGTCGGGGCCGCAGGCTGGGCTGGGCTGGGCTGGCCTGGGCTGGCCTGGGCTGGCCTGGGCTGGCCTGGGCTGGGCTGGGTTGGGCTGGGCTGGGCTGGGTTGCGCTGGGAAACCATGCAGGTTAAAGGCCTTGAGCTTCTGCGGAGACATGTCTATAGTCATGGAAGAAATTAAGGGATCTTAAAGGTTTTACACGGAAGCCCAATACTACTGCTTTTGTGGATAAGACATCATGCTGATATCTTAAGTGAAACTTCCCACAAGCTATGCGTTTGGCATCAACAACCTAGAAAAGAGATGAAAAAGAGTAATACTTCTCTTAAATTGATCCCAGCTCACTAAACAAAGATTATCAGGAGAGAGAGAAAGTTGATCATTACAAAAATGCTGGATCAGAATCACCTTTGAATTCTGATAGGTTTACATCCTCACCCATGTGGATATATAAATATCCCTGTGAACTAAAAATTTCAGAGGTGATCCAAGCAGAAGAGAGATTTTTGAACTCTAGGGAATCTTGATTGTTTTACTTCTGTTTTTCTCTGCGGGTTTCTCTGTACACAGTCAAGTTCACACAGAGTAGGTCTTGAAGGCCCAGGTCTGCTCGGGCCATCAGCCAGCAGTATCCTGTTACCTCTAATCCATGTTTGGGCACCACTGATCCCCGGACAGCATCGCAGGAACCCTGGCCACATGCCAAATCGAAAAACAAACAAAAATGCTTATTTCTACAAAGGGTGGGAAAGCAGCTAAATCAGTTTTGTCTACTGCTATTTCCCTGGACCTCAATCTTCAGACTGCCACCCCTGCCCTGCTCTGCCAGGCTGCTGGCACAAAGTCCTGCCAGCGGCGGTGAGGACTGTGCCGGGTGAGATATGCCTCTTGGCACATGACATGTAGACTGCTTTGGCAGAGGGTCTAATTGAAAAGAGCTACTAGAGAAACCAGTCATTTCTTATAATTCAGTGATAGGCACTGAACACAAAGTCAGAAATTAATGAATTTGCAACGTCCTTTTGGACCAGAATACGATGCATAGAAGTGTCCAATACAGCCACACACATGGGCTTACATCTGATGGTTCTGTATCATATATTTTCTTGAATTATCCCTATCAAGGATCTAATAGAAAGTTTTGCAAGATTTTTATTATAACTAAATCTGACCTGCAAAGTATAGTATTTTCCAGAGGTACAGAATACCAATGCCCAAGGTGAAAGTCAACATAAATCTCTGGAATTCAGCAAGTGACAGAGTCAATCACTAAACCAATATTATGATTTTCATCACTTTTGCTTCCTGGTAAAACCTCTGGCTCCTCTGTCCTGGTAAGGATCTGCCGTGGATTAGACAACTTTTCATTTTATCTTATGCCTTTCTCTGAGGCAACACAAATTTAAGAGAAAAAAGCATATACATTTGCATAAACAAACACTGACTTGGTCAGTTAGTTCCTTTTTGAATATTATTTTAAAATAATATTTGAAAAGATTACAATTGTAATGCCCATTGTAGAAAATTTACAAATACATATAAGAAGAATCAGTCACTATCTTCCATCATCTTTGATGTACTGCACTTTTTCTAAAAAAACATATTTTTTGTACATGCATATATCTTGAATTTGCATATGACACATATTTTACTAAACTGGCCAGGTTTTATCTGCATTGTATCTATATCTATATACCTCTTTCTTCATTTCACTTTGTATTATACACTTTCTAAAATCACTATCTATTCTTTAAAGAGACTGACTTTATAAGCAGTAGAGATTCCAGGGGATGTATTATATCTGACCATTTTTATAGCTGCAAACCTAACACTCCATCTGTTTACATTCTCATTAAGCTTGATACTGAATTTCCTGGCACTTCAAAATATTTTTATATTATGTAGGAGAACAGTTTGAAAACATTTTTTAAAACTATCATTCGGTTGAAATAACTTTGAAGCTTCTTTATAAACAACAAAGTTCCATTGTATTTTAAATTACGGTGGTTTCAGCAAAACTTTCTTAAAGAAATTCTTTTTTTCTCCCTTAAAAGAATATTGTAAGAAGAAAAATGGAACAGACTGTACACATTTTCATTTAGATTTCAGGCAAAAATCATAAGATTCTACTCATCATTTTAGTGGACTGAACTTAGAAGAGAGCTCACTGATGTCATAAATTATGGTTTGAAATACAGCATTCTGAGGTGGAATATCGCTCACCATGAGGTTTCATGGAAGCAGCTAAGCCCCTTGGAAGAAGGGCTCTGTCTTGGCGTGATGTCCATGAATGTTCTCTTCTGACCCCTGGCTTCTCTGTACCCAATCAACTCCTAATCTCATCTGTCATTTGAAAGACCTCAAGCCACGTGAGCACACCTTGGCAGAGCTGGGAAAAGGGTTCAGTGTCGGGGCAGAATCTTACTAAAGGAGACACCAGGGCCAGGCACAGAAGCTATCAGAAGGGTGTGCTTCAAAATCTAAGCCATAGACTAAAGAGAAAACCATGAAATCAGAGTGAATTTAACCTCAGTTTAAAGTTTTTCTTTCTTTCTTTTCTTTCTTCCTCCCTCCCTCTCTCTCTTTCTCTCTTTCATTCTGCCTGCCAAGGCTAATGTCATATTAATGGACTTCCACAAATCTGATTTCCAAAGTTGCCTGGGCCCATCCCAGAGGTTCTAAATCGTTAGGTTGCAGGTGAGATTCAGGTGATTTTCATCACAGGGCAGACTGTAAAATACTATATTCTTGCCCATAGGCTCTTTTTCCTTTCAACTTTATTGAGCTTGCTTTCCAGGGTAAAGCAGTGTAGGGACTGGGCCCCATGGTATACAATACCACAAAAGGAAACCATGAGAAGAACCCATGTACCTTTGTTAGGCCATCTTTAACTTATTTGATATTGAAAAATATTCAGAACCCATAATAGTTTGGCACCCTTAAGTACCAGGTAGGATAACTGAAGTGTGTGACATCACTTAGTATAATACTTGGCACATGGCAGGTGCTGGCTAACCACTGCATTCCCACCTGGTAGGAGGGTTCTAAGAGGCAGAATTAAGAACCACGGCTCAATCCTCCCAAAAGGCTCCTCCTATTCAGGGGGAGATGGAAGACACAGAGTACTGATCCAGGACAGGAGAAAAAGCAGGGCTGGGGATTTATTTCTCAGAGTGGAAGGTCACCGTCAAAGAGGCAACGAGCCTGTATCTCCTAAATTATAGGCGTGTTTAAGCTGGAACATACAGATCCAGAAGCTGTAGAAAGACCTGGAGCCTCAGGGACTACGAACAGCTTGAGAACTTTAACCTACAAAAATGTTAACACTGACACATTCAGGTTAAATGTAGGAATTATATTTAAGGACACATTCCCATTAATCCTTACCGTGAATAAAATAGTTCCTTTAACCCTCATTCGGAGTTAAACTATTCCAAAAATAGTTTAGAAAATAGTGTGCTGTGATCTAAACAGATATTTTTGAAAATTTATTTTGAATTAAAAACCTGGCAAGAGAGCATGTTGGGGATTCTGTCCCACTTTCTCAGTCATCCACTCCTGAGGACAGTCAGATCTTGGGTTTATAGGACCCTCAGCAGCTGGAGATACGACCATAGCGTCCAGGGCAAGGCTGGAGGTATAACCACAGTGTCAGGGGAAGGCTGGGAACATGACCACAGTGTCCGGAGGAGACGGGAAGATCTCAGTAGCCGGGGTTTCTGGCAGCCACAGGACGGGCACTTTTTCTCATTACTCCCTTACCTGGGGGCCTGGAGGGTGAGGGGTGCTACCTCCCAGAGGCTCCCGAGGGGCAGGGCTGGAGGCTGTTCTGTTTTTGCCAAGGCTGAGAATCACAGCCTGTGGGCCTTTACTTCAACGCAGGGCAACCGACAGCTGCTGGAGGAAAGGCCGTTCCATTTTCAAGAGGCCTCTCCAGCCGGACAGCTAACTGGAGTAACCGGAATTGTCCCCCAAGGCCAAGCTTCTAATGTCATTCTGTTGGGAGGGCTGTGAATTATTCTGTTTTCCAACAATAAGTGCAAGATTGCATATCCAAAAGTTCCCAAATGACCTATACAATACATGTTGGATTTCTGCGCCTCTCTCCACAGCTTCCCTTCTTAGACCACACCTATCCTGTGCAACTGTACCACCTGCAAGGCACCCGCCTGGCCCCTGCAAGGACCGCAATTAATGTGTGCATCGACACAGAAGAATCAGTGCCTGCATCTGACTCGACTGTGTGAGCTGGAACCTTAGAGCTTGCCCTAGACTCAAGTGGCTCTTTC